AGGAATTGTTCGTTGAAGTATATATCAGGAAACTATATTATAGTTTAGAGGGCACAGTTTATAAATACATACATCGAACATTCATCTTTAACAAACATTTCCATAAAAAAAATGAACTTGTAATACATATATTAAATGTGAGGTATGTAAATATGTAAATGTGGAGATGTACACTCTCGACTGCAGGTAGCCAACATGGAAAAAAAACAAAGTGGTAAAAAAAGTGCTGTCAAAAACCTGGCGAACGTAATTATCGGCGTAGATTTTCTAATTGATAGCTGCCCTTTCTCTTGTTGGTGTCTACCTACTGGATAATTAGAAGGTTTATTTCTTGGAATTATGAGACATTTCGGCCTGTAAATCTTTGTTTTATTCGCTCGACGTTTCGATAAAAATCTTTTGTCTTCGTCAGAAACATAAAAAAAAAGTAAAGCATTTAGCAAGGCGTTAAAGTGAATTATTTTAACGCTTTGCTTAATGCTTTAATTTTTATTTGTTCCTGACGAAGACCAAGGATTTTTATTGAAACGTCGAGAAAAAAAAAGATTTACTGGCCGAAGTATCTCTTAATTCTAAGAACTATGAATGTCGGCAACCTCCATCTTCATGTTAACGTTATATTTCTTGGAATTATGTAAATATATTTTTGATAGATTAGCGCGCCATCTGTTATGAAAATTCGAAACTATTATAGACGCGTATTATTCCTTTTGAAAATTAAACAATTTCTACTGTCCTTACTGCAATATGGGAAAATTAATGAGAGGGCCTGGCTCATCAGTGGTTAAACTGGTGAAATCGCTAGGAGGGTTCACCACTGATGAGCCAGGCCCTCCCATTAATTTTTTCATTGCAGTAAGGGCAGTATAAATTGTTTAATTTCAAAAAGAATCATACGCGTCTATAATAGTTTGGAATTAATGACATTTGTAACTTGTACAACCCACTTATTTCTCTAAGTCAGTACCCCATCCTCTCTTACAGCCTGGAATCTCTGTGTGTTTGTCTATCTTAGAAGATACGTGTTTGAAATGTGTGTTGACGGTTTTATAAACTAGTTGAAATTGTTGAAAGTGTGTTGACGGTTTTATAGTTGAAATTGTTGAAAGTGTGTTGACGGTTTTATAAACTAGTTGAAATTGTTGAAAGTGTGTTGACGGTTTTATAGTTGAAATTGTTGAAAGTGTGTTGACGGTTTTATAAACTAGTTGAAATTGTTGAAAGTGTGTTGAAATATTTACAAGTGTTATATCCATAAATGTTTAACGGAATGAAACCTGGCA